CAGCATCCTTTCTCGAAAGCTGAAATATTTTGGTCATATCAAGCGCCACGACGGATTGGAAAAAAATATAGCAGAAGGCATGGTACCAGGAAGGAGGGGCAGAGGCCGACCGAAACGAAGATGGGCACAGGATATAAGTGACTCCTTGAGTGTAAAAGTTCATGAGGCGGGAGAACTGGCAACAGACCGAGTTTATTACAGGCAGACTGTGATGAGAGCGACGTTCTGCTAAGGAACTGCTACATGATGATGATCCCTAGTTCGTCTACCCTGTCTGAAACCCGCGTGTGCTTCATGTAGCTCATATTGTAATTTCCGTTCAATCCTTTTCATGATAATTCGTAAGCATGACTTATTAACGCGATTGTATGGTAGTTGGAGCATAGTTTCAGATTTCCTTTCTTTGGGAGAGGGATATAGATTGTTCTTTTTCATGCTTTTGGCCAAATGCCACTGTTTTAAATCTTCGTGCACAGTACATGGTAGATTCGGAAGCTGGCCTCTCCTTCTGCTTGAATTAGTTCTGCTGGTATTTCGTCGCAACCTGGCGACTTTCTTTTCTTCATGCTGTACATTTCTGATCGTACCTTATCCAATTAGGGCTCTGGTTCTTTTTCATAACTTTCATGAGTTGTTTTTGCATTACTTGTCAGATCCTCATACATTTTTCAACAGCATTATTTCCATCGTTTTAATATGTTTTTGGTTTCCGTTAATGTGTTACCGTTTTTATAACTTATTGCATGAAAAGAAGGCCTGAATTCGCCTTTCACTGTTTAAATTTCTTTAAACATGTCTCTGTCTCTTACTTGCATCTGGAATTCAATTACAGGTATTCATTAACTGTTTTTAAACAAATCTTCCCTGATAGCTCTTCTGCTTTCCTTCATTTAGTTCCTATATACATGGCTTTTTGTTTCTGTTCCTTACTTGCTTTAAATTTCTTCTTTCTTCTATCAGCTTGAAGGTTTTGTCTGTAATGTAAATCTGTTCCTTGTGTCGTTTTTTAGAATGAAGACAAAGCTGTATGGTACACGAGAGGATTTGGACTGCACGATAACTTTCATAAAGGCTACCGGCCTCTTGATATTTGTTTTCTGACCGAAGAATCGAAGAAGAAGATGTTCTAAGCTGTTGTAATGATGACGTTTCTTGCTTCATCGGCAAACTCATCAGGTGTCATATGTTCCTGCACTGCCATGAATGCCTTAAATTTGTTTTTGTTTTTTTAACCTCAGTGCTGTTACTACTTAAATCAAAACGTATTGGCTTAGCACCTTCTAAGACTTTTTCAGTTTTATTTTTATTTCTGCAACAAGAAGTTTGTGATCAGTGTCACAGTCAGCTCCAGGGAGTGTCTTTGCAGATGTTATACATGTCCTCCATTTTTGTTGTATTAAAATATAATCAATTTGGTTCCCCCCATTTCCATTCGGTGAAGTCCATGTGTAGAACCTTCTTGGGTGTTGTTTAAATAGTGTGTTGGTAATTTTCTATACAGAATTTGATCAGTCTCTCCCCACTCTCGTTTATGTCTCCAATGCAGAATGGACATCTGCTAAAATTATAACTCTTAGGTTTGACTGTGATATTATTATATGTGAAACTGTTACAAATTACTTCTGCAACTGACGCCCGGTTATGAAAAATAAAAAAAAAAATTTAATCTTTGGCAGCCCAAAACATTTTCAGCATTCTTTTGTCAAAAAAAAAAAAAAAAAAAAAAAATATGCAGTTTCGAATATTTCATACAATTATTGATTTATTTAAAAAAATATTAATAATTAAGGTAATAGCAAGAAAGAAAGTTCCTAGGAATTCGGAATTTTTTTGCGTATCATCACATTACGTAGGCGTGCGCATGTAGATAAATTCAGGATCAATTACCGTTCCTAGTATACATTTCTTGCAAATGAGCTGAAGCTGACTAAACTAAAAAAAAAAACATGTCCAAGCCGTCTGCACAAGACACACACACAGAATGAGAGAGAGAGAGAGAGAGAGAGAGAGAGAGAGAGAGAGAGAGAGAGAGAGAGAGAGAGAGAGAGAGAAAGAGAGAGATGAGTTAATTGAAACAAATTTAAAGATTTTTGTGTGAGTGTGTTTGTAATCGTGTGTGAGTGTGTGCGTGTGTGTGTGAGAGAGAGAGGAGAGAGAGAGAGAGAGAGAGAGAGAGAGAGAGAGCGAGCGAGAGAGAGAGAGAGAGAGAGAGAGAGAGAGAGAGAGAGAGAGAGAGAGAGAAAGCCCTAAGAAGAACGCCATATAATTTAAGAGTATCAGGGAGATAACAGTAATGTTTACCAAACAACGTGGGAGGGTTGATACACTCATCAACGCAAGGAAAATAGGTGTTGTCATAACATAGATTAGAGGTGATTTCGAAAGCGACCTACACTGTCAGGGAGCGATGTTGGGTTCGCAGTAAACTTTTTGGGTGTAAAAGCTCTTGTGTTAGTCAGTAATGAATACTAGTAAACTCCTGTTAAAATTACAAGTGAGTGCACTTTGCGATGGGAAAATATGAGACAGTTAAGACATTAGCTGAAATTATTTTGATTTTTCAAACAAAGGATTCTAAATAATGAGGAGAATTAACTACGACGGGTCATATGATGTTTTGTATCTAGGCTAATATTACTATTCAAATGTGCTCCTTCTCTGCACTATAGACACACATCACTTAACTGGATTAAGTATAAATTTGTACAATTTAAGAAAGATAATATAGCATAGGGGAGTGTAGATTAGGCGAAGATGCAGCTTTTGTCAAAGAATCGGTGATTACCTCTGATTACCATAGAATATTAAAAGAAAGGGCTAAGTTAAAGCAATGCTTATCAGCTGGGAGTCCGACAGCTATCATGAAGGTAAACCAGGTCTAGTGTCAACACTACAGACCCGCCTAATTCGCTCCAAATTGTTTGTTGTCTCATATTTTGTTTTTAGTTTAGTTTTATATTATATACTCTGGGAATCTAGCACATAAGTTAAAATCATTGTTCTAACAATGGTCATCTCTCAGCTGGGTTTCCACCGATAGTTTAAGAAACCCAATCTCCTAAGCATTTATTACCCAAAAAATATGAAGCTTGCTGACTTTGCTGATTGTGCAAACACATTTGCTGACTAAAAGATTACCTTTTACATGTCATGTTCCTTGAGTCTTTATGAAATGTTTCTTTATTCTACAGTAAATCAAAATTCATTCTTCTTCGGGAAAAATACTGCTACTATTTGAGCTGCTTTTCATGTTATCACATTGAGTATTTTAAGCACTATTCCTCGCTTTTAAAATACGTAGCAATAGTTAACTATTATCAGTGTCGTGGGTAATAAACAGGAATATGTATGCTAATATTACAGTTTGATTAAAGATACATAAGATATACAAATGATAAAATGGATAGTGCCAGCCATGCTCTGAGATTTTCAGCATTTGCAATTGAAGCTTACTTATCAGGTTGGCGTCCGACATCTACGTCGCCTGTAAACACTAGAGGCCACCCCAGGTCTGTGTATCTGTTTATTTTCTTATAGTGCTCAGAGATACATCCAGCCCAACCCTTCCCAGACAGCAACCCCTGAGCCATGTATGTGTTAAGGGAGGACACTCGCGCGACCCTAAGCTTTTCAAGTCTAACAGGCCATTGTCATATTCTGCGAGCACCTTGACCACATAAAAGGACGATGTGACCGGCGAGATCACGTAGTCTCCACATATCCGGGTTTTTCCTAGAGGGTAGAGCGATGAATGACTGACTGACTGACTTTCTACCCCACCAGGACATCACACAAGCGATAAACACCCGATGACACAAAGTGCCACCATGCGGATGAGGATCGCCGTGGAGAGGTCCCAGAAACCGCGTTCAGACATTTAGCCATATGTATGGCCTATATTGCGACCCCTGGCAAAAGCCAGAGTAGGGCTTCAAAGGACAAAAAATTTCGTCCTAAATAGGGCGAAATTGGATACATGAAGAACGATGAATGTTTTAACAAAATTTCATTATAAGTCGAAGTTAGAACGCTGAGTAATTTCTCCATGGTTTAATATTTCCGAATGCTTGAAATAAAATATTCTATGAACTTTTGCTACAACAAAGTTTTTTATATATACATATAAACACATTTTATAGAATATATTTCTATATAAATCCTCTTTTTATCTTTTTCAAAGATTCACGTTTTCCTGCAATAAATAAAGAATATCACATTTCTCACACCCCCGTGTGGGTTCCGGGGCCCCATTGTGGGGGAAAACAAGAATAGACCCACTGCCTCCCCAAAAGCATGTCGTAAGAGTCGACTAATTGGGAAGCTTCCTTTGAAATCGGAGTGCATCTGCCGGAGAGGCAAGGAACCAACAGTCTGTATTCAAGAGAATGAGATCTGTAAAACTGATGCACACGCAACACTCAGGTTCTGAAGCAGGACTGCAGTTCAGTAGTGGACGAGCAACCAGAACCTTCCGCCAGAGTTTACAGCTGGTGAACGCGAAGAAGAAGAAGACATTTCTCACATTATTATCGAACTTGAAATTAACAAATTTGTACGCGGTTATGTACCTTATTAAATCATGGTTTGATTAAACGGTTAGATTACTGCAAAGTAAATTGTTTCTGACTAATGGATTTAATCGTGACAAAATATAAAATATTTTATTGAAACTTGTATATTGTAAGCATGTAAATCAAGAACTGTTTTCATTGTCGGATATATTTTTATAATGGTCTCATTTACATGCTCATGTTGTGGAATTTTACGTTAATTGAAGAAAACTGTTAAAATTCAATTTTTACTTCATCATCGAACTTAATTTTTTTAACAGAGTCAATGAAGTTGTAACATTTCCAAACTTATAACCGTCGGTGATAACGTGTTTGACTTGGTTGGTAAACAACCATCGTAAAGCAAGTCATTGCTTTATTTGGCCTGGTCTAGGCCATTACTGGCAAACCCACAATCGACTTCCGGTGAGAAGGAAGAGCAAAACAACAATGTCGGAAGGCAGTTCAGACGATACTGGCGCTCATGACACATGGGTTCCTTTCAAAGATAGACCCGAATGGAAAGACGTTAAGCCTGTTCCTCAGGATGATGGCCCGAATCCGGTTGTGCAGATAGCCTATACAGATCAATGTAAAGTTGATACTGCATAAAGTTTGGTTGTTGCTAATTAACATTTTTGAAAAATTTTTTCATAACACGAAATTTAATTACGAAACTTGAAAAACTAACCAACGCAGTTAAGTAAGCTGACTTAATGAGCTAAAACTAAAAAAGTTGAGCAGGTTCATTAATGATTTTTGTATAATTTAATATAGGAAATGAATGACATGTATGCCTGTATATTAGGAATCAATATCATAGCACTGACTGTGGTTACTCCCATACATAAGCGCGCCATCCGCATCTTCAGCAGCAAGCAAAGAGTTCCACTTTCAGTGGCGCCTTTCCCTTGTATGTCGAGCGTCGGCCAGTTTCCCTGGTAACTCCCTAAAGTGCCATTCTCCTCAGACTGTAATGATCTATTTGTGCCTCTGTAGTGTTTACTCGCTCTCAAAGGGAGCAACATCTAGCTTGTCATACATCACTAAGTGGTGCAGAACCGGCCAGTTTAACACACCAGAATGACCTAGAGAAAATATCTTATGGACACTATCTGCCCGGGACCTCTGAAGTGACGCCTGCCACTCTGAACAGAGCATACCTGTCTCCAACTTTCTCAACATACTCTATGAGTGTGTATATATGTATATTAATATATATATGTTTATTTAAAATTAGGTGGTAATCACATAGTAGGAAACAGGGTAGCATATATTTTGTATTATGCACCAAATTGAATGGCAAACTAATTGCACGAAAAAATTGATTTATTCTGTTAGACATCATCATCATGTTTCTGTAGATATGGTGCCAAAAAAAAGGCAACTGAAAAATCTTTTATCTGTCAACAATATAGACTAAATTTCCTGACATATAAATTATGAATTTATATTGTTTTATGAATTTAGAAAATGGTGTGCAGCAATTCAGTATCAAATGCAACAAAAATAGAAATGTATAAAACTTGCATTTATCTAAAAAAAAAAGTACATCGTTCAGTACAAATGGGCACCTGTCATTCCCTACACTAATAACGTGTCGTGGTCCGTTTGTTGCCCATTTTATTCTTAGGATTTTAACATTTATCTTTTTTGTTCACACACTATGCACTTTCTTTTTTGAATGGGGGTACTTCAGAAAAGCTTTGCAAATCACAGTGCCAGTCATCAACCATTGGGGTGTGTGGCAGATCTTTCCCAGACTTGTTGGATGATTATGAGGCTTCAGCATCAAAAGAAGCAATGATAATCTTCATCATGTGCACGCTCAGACACACTATCTTTAAAATCTACAGGCTGTGAATGAATATTTTTACTAGAACTATCAGTATCAGAAACTGCCGCACTAGTGTTTGCTGCCTACTATAACTGCCAGTCCAGTCTTAGTCTTTGAAGTGACAAGCGGTTGTTTCACTGTCGATGATGTCTTTGATGGCACTTCATTAGATTTATCAAAGTCGCCAGACTGTTCTATCTTCACCTTCATTTTCCAAAGAAAAATCAAATAAAGAAAATCATGCACAACAACAGAAAAAAGGATAAATATGACCGCCAGGATCCCTTCGAGAATTTGACGGCATGACAAAATTTTCGTCATTGTACCAGCGACATGGGAGCTCACAATGAAAATTCATCCAAAATTTACTATAAGCACTATGGGGTTATTGCACTTAAAAGAACTATGGAGAAATGAATGGGCTAAAGGGCTGCAACCAAATTCATCACACAAATTACGATTTTAACATGAAGGCGAGCATCTAAAGTTACGATCACAAGGGGTGTGATCGTGATAGACAGGTGTAAATGTTCCCTGATCGCACAGCGCACGATCATGGTAGTCAGTGGGTTAAAGGGAATTGGGTCTGTTTTCAAAGATAACATTGATCCCATCTATGTTGGCAGGGTTGCTGGTTGGGAACCTGTCCCTAGGATGACTAGGGAGTGGTGTAGAAAGGTCTTGACCAGTATGAAACCTGGTCCTGGTGTATTACCACGAGTGCTTTAGCTCCTCTGCTTCCTAGTTGGCACTCAGTAAGTGATGGTTTTAATAAGTTGCTGAGCATTGATTGCGGGGCCTTTTTATTATATATAGCTAGTTTATTTTTGTATGCCTGTAATGTGTGTTTCATAATCATCAGGACCTAATTTATGGCTTCTCCACAGTTCGCGATGTGTATGATTACTTTCGTGCTGTAGTGGCTGCAGAAGAGAAGTCGGAAAGAGCACTTGATCTTACAAAAGAAGCAGCGGAACTGAACCCAGCCAACTATTCTGTGTGGTATGTACTATTGTATGCATTTTCTTTCTCTAAAGCAAATTATGGGTAGAAACCTGTCAGAAAGCCTTGAAGATGGTCAGTTTATTTAGTTGAGGGTTTCTTGTTAAAGTGATAAAGTCATTTGCCTCACACTCTAAAGGTTGTAGGTTCACTTGTGAACTCCATCATTCAGCTTGCTCGTATATTTCTAAGATCCCTGGGGCTTATCGATGGAGCTATAAAGTTTATGCTGTGTAGTCAAGCACCCACTCTGCGGACAGAGTAAACTTTTTAGGATTAAATCCAGTGTAGTTACCCCACTGACCCATTATGCTTAGCTTGTTGAACTGTTTGTCTCTTGAATATTTTGTACAGTCTGAATGTTACTTTTTAAAGATACATTTTTTATTACTGTTAAGTTGATCATGTGCAGAAGAATATGCTTCCCACTTGTTTCTGAATATATGTCTTATAAAACAGTTTAGTTGTATGACTGTTTTGGTGGCATACAATCGGAGGAGGTGCAGTGGCCAAGAAAAGACAGTGCTGTATGTCTTTATAATTAGAGCAACCCTTATTATTGTTCATCCATCACAAGTGATGACTCCAGTCCTTTTCTTTGCTGAGTGGGATTTATTGTTATGTAGGTGACTGATAAGGCCAGTTTGGAGGAAATTTAGACTGCATCATGAGGGGGGGGGGGGGGGTTTAGTTCAGTCTTATCTGGTCTATCTCTGTTGAACTGTAGGTCTGACTGCAAGTTTAAAAAATGTGTGGCCAAACAAGCGCACTATGCAGGAAGTCAAAGAAGAATAAGAAACCAAACCAGAACTGGGATCACCAGTCACTACACGCTGCATGATGTGAATGGATCTGAGCACTTATGAACTGAATAGTTTTGTGTGCAGTGAGGATCATTTGTCGACTGACTGAGGTCTGGCTGCCCATCTGATACCGCTCCACACTGAAGAGTTGAAGATCAGATTCTTTCCAAGAACACTGCTCTCATAAGCATAAAATATTTTTTTTTAAAGTAAAGGTCTCCTTTTCACGCCTTTAGGCGTATAGGGCATATAGGGCTAGACTTATATTTCTAAAGACCAATCGGCACAACATGGGTGATGTTGTCGGCATCAAGCTGGCTGCCTTTACTTCCCGGGACTGCACCCTGTACCCACTCAAGGCTGGGTCAACCGGGGAGTCAAGGTCATTTTTGAAAAAAGTCCTGCTCCGCCAGGGAGCAAACCCATGAACTAGCATAAAATATACTTATTCAAAATATGTATAGCCTTAAAAACACAGATGGAATAATTATTAAAATGTATATACAGTGTAACAACTGTGATACTGGGTTATGTATATTTTATCATTCTTTTATGCAGGAACTACCGAAGAAATATTTTGCAAGACCTAAATAAAGATTTGAGGGAGGAGTTGAAATACATATCTCAAGTAATTGAAGACAATCCCAAAAACTATCAAGTTTGGTATGTATATAAAGACTTGTAAGATTGTTTAATGTTTAACACAAATCCCGAGGGATTGAAGAATCAGATGTTAACAAATCTTCTGCAAACCAGAGACTGATATACTTCCATGCAGAGTGCACAGTTTTTTCAGGTTAACTTAGTATTTGTCTTAAACAGGTTTGTGTTAACATTATATGCACCAACTTACCAGTTGATTGCCCATTAGTGCATACAAATTGTAAAAATAACACCATATCCGCAGAATTTATGAAAATATAAAGTCCTAATTGCCAGTATGGGGTCCAGCGCCCCATCTTTGGAAAAAAAGATATCGGGGGTGTGTGTAATAATAGACCCACCGCCCCCTGACAAGACTGTCATAAAATTATACTGATTATAGATGTTTCCTTCAAAATGTGAGTGCATCTTGAGCAACAAGGAGCTAAAAGTCTGCATACAGACAAGCCAGATCTATAAAATGGATGTGCTTGCAAAGCTAAAGTTCTGGAACAATACTAAAGCCCATAAGTGGAGAAGGAACCAAGAATTTCTGCCAGAGTTTACAGCAGATGAATACTAAGAAGAAAGGGTCTGTATTTTTTAAAACAGCCTTGTAGTGTTTGTGAATTATTGATCATGTAATCTCTGTGTGTGTGTATTTTCCTGTTACTTATACAATGCAAGTCGGCTCTGTGGCTAAGTCGATGCGAACGCTTTAAAATGCCCGGATGCTGGGTTCGATCCCAGCTGCGGGCCATGCGCCTTGCGTTGGTTTCGACAGTGGTATCAGAGAGCCGACCGTTCAGTAAGCAATGGCATACTGGATGTAAATTTGCCTTGAGAAACCACACAACAGCCAGGGGCTGTTGGGGTTGGTTCTGCAACGTCCTGTAAAGGATACGCAACTAACCTCAACATATACAATGCAAATATGACTTGTAAATATTGGTTCACTAGTTGCTATGTCTGTCTTATACTTCTCTTTAGGCATCACAGACGGGTGATAGTCGAGTGGTTGGAAGACTCTTCTCAAGAGCTTGGATTCACAGAGAAAATTTTGAAGGATGATGCAAAGAACTACCATGCTTGGCAACATAGGTAAAATTTGGTGAAATCTCCGGCGGCTGATAAATGTTGAAACATTTTATTTGTGTTTATGAATCAGGTTGTTTTTTTTTTTAACGTGACCTACAGGTAAAGCCTGGTATCTTCTATTTGAGGTCAAGATAGGAGTAATTATAAGTATATCCAGCTTCATGCAGGAGTAGGCTGAAGAGGTACACTGAGGTGGCTGCTGCATTTGAGGATCGAGCACACACTGGAATGCCTGATGTACTATGATGGCAATCTTAATAACATAACCTAAATCTTGTGTTGAAAATTTTGTTTTTTATTTGTTTTTGAGGTGTAAATTAAATTTTGCATGGTATTACAGATATTTTCAGACTTTTAAAAATTAGTAACTGAGATAGCATATTATGGGCATAAGAAATATTATGAAGAGAATGGTACATTTTTTTTTGACAGGATGAAATAAGTGCTACTTCACAAGCCTGTTTAAAAATGTTAATAATACTGATGATTTATATCTATGAATACAAATTTAATAATTTTTATGAAAGCCAATCTAAAAAAAGCCAGTCTGAAAGCTTGTAAGAGTTTTTTTTTAAAAACTCTTCACCACAAATCTAACTGTGACTGTTCATATACTTATTCTCAGGAAATGAATGCAGTGGTTTCCTTACTATTGATTATATTGAACGGGTAAATGATTTCCTCGAACATCTGATAATCAGATGGTTTTGTCATCTGGTCGGAATGGAACAAAATCAGCCAATGACTGAGGTATTGCATGAGAACAGCAGGCTACAAGGCAAGGCCAGCCAAAAGATGTGTGGAGGGAGTAAAAGAGACACTACAGAAATGCATTATGACAAGAATGACACCGTTCAGACACACAAGCTGCATGACTAGCAAACGACAGAAAACTACATCTTACGCTTCTGTGCAGTGCTTTACGGCGTAAACAAAAGGACATAAGGAGAAGATTGAAAAATCAATAAGCAATATTACATTATAGTTTCAATTAAATAAAATGTTTTTTTCTTTATATGCTTGTACGTTTTCCAGTTCACCTGTACGTTTATGTCGTCATTATTAAGCCACGTGCATGGTTTGCCAAGAATATCAGTTATTGGGCATATTGTAAACAAATACTGATGCATGGAAGAGCTAGACAGATTTTTGAAGATAAATCTAGTTGTGCTCTTTTTGTATTCTTAGACAGTGGTGCATCCAGCATTTTTCCCTGTGGGACAAGGAGTTGGAATACGTAGACTCACTTCTGAAAGAAGATCTGCGCAATAACTCAGCGTGGAATCAGAGGCATTTTGTCATTAAGAATACCACTGGCTTCACAGATGATGTTGTGACAAGAGAACTCAAGTAAGAGAACATAGAATATTTGTGTACACAAAATTTTCTGACTTCTATTAAGAATATTTGCACACATATGTTCCATAATAATCCATTTCATAGTATTATTAAATGGTTTTAAAAAAAAACGTTAGAGATGTAAAATTTTAGACCTACACATGATAAAGTAGGTAGCCACTTCTTCCCTTGCTGCCTTTCCTTCCCAGCTCCCAGATAATTTTGAACATGATCTGGTACAAATACTTATAAAGCTGAAACTACCCCTGACACACGGTGTTCAGAAAAAAAAAATTCCTGCATCTGTAGGAGACTGAATACAGACCAGTGTCTTGGCAGACAGTTGACTCACCACTTTGTCACTGGAACTATTAGACGGTGAGGTGTTTTCTTCTTTTGCTTCTTTTTAAAAGGTCGGTTGGCAGATCAGGATTTACAGTTAGGCTGTGATATCTGCACTATTTTAATAAGCCTGTGTTTTTATGACATGCCTGTTAAGGCACAGTATGTTTTCTGCTGCCCCCCCCCCCCCCCACCCCTTCTACCAGGCCTCGCACCGGGAATTAAAATATCTGATAGCCTACTGAAATATTTGGGGGCTGTGTGGCAAGTGTACTTACCTTCCATCCTGGTGGATCTGTGTTCAGATCTGTCTTTCTTGAAGCAGGATTTGTTTATGTTAGGTGGAAAAAATACATTCAGTTTTCGTGTACTGCTTTTCTACCTAATGACACCCCTGGAATTCTTAATATTACGGGAAATTTTTCAAGGATATGATGCTGAACTCATAGTTTTTGCAGACCAATCAGCAATTGATGTGCAATGTGGTCAGTATCATGACAACTGCCTTTACTTCCCAGAATTTTGCCTAGTACACATAGGAGGTTGGTTCAAGCTGGGAGTTCAGATCACTTAAAAAATTCAGACTTGATGTTGATTTGAATTTTTAGGTCTCTCTCTACCTCCCCCCACCCCCCCCTCTCTTTCTCTCTCTCTCTCTATAAAAATAAAGTTCGTTCGTTCGTTCTCTCTCTCACATACACACACACACTGCTATCTTTATTCTGTACTGTAAGTAACTTTATGTACAGTTTATTACTTTAAAACAAAACTTTAAAAATGGACACAAACAGTATATTGCACATTTTATTGCCAGGCATATTTTGCTGTATCTCATTAGATGTGTTACTACAGAGTTACATCAGCATAAAATGAAGTCAACCAAAAAAAACCTATAAATCCAATTGAAAAGCAAGTGTTTTTTTTTTTCCGATGCATCATGTTTCGCCCGAAGTTCACTGTAGTCACATGACTTACCAGGGTAACTTCAAAGTCAGTTTATCACTGACTATGAGAATGAAGGATTCCCATAATTTTTTAATGACAGTTAATTAGAATTTTTTCAGATCGACACCAAATATACCATTTCTGGCAAGTTTCGGGTTCCAAATTGTTTTCATTTTTATCGTCTGGGGCGAAGGTTTAAATAGAAGTATAACAAAGACTGCTAATATTTTTATTTCTTCTAGTGTAAATAATTTGTTATATTCTATGTTATTGTGTACAAAAGAGCTGACTTCTTTGGATAATACAGAATGTACTTTTTTTGCCCTTTCCAGGTATGCTCAGGACTATATCCGCAAAGCCCCGAACAATGAGAGTGCTTGGAACTACATGAAAGGGTTAGTACTTGTTAAGTTGGAACAGAATTAACTGTGGCTATTCCCACCATTTTTTTTTTTAAATTATCTCTGTCATATTTTACAAACAGTGTTTTCCTGTTGTGAATTTGAGAAATGAAAACAAAACAGAAATTGGCACAGTTTACTGTTCATGTGCCACCCACCCAACCCTCAGAGGAGCGTGAAGATCACTGGTCATATGTGGAAAGATGTGTGAGTCATGGACAATGACAACAGCTCACAGAAGCCAACTTCAGGCCTCAGAAATGAGATATCTGAGAAAGGTGGTCCAAGTGACAAGAAGGGATAAAGTCCGCAGTCAGACAATACGTCAGGATCTTGATACCCAGTCCTTACAAACCCGAGTGGATCAGTCACAGTTACGATGATTTGGACATGTATGCAGAATGGGAGAAAATTGGCCACTATGGCAGGCATGGGAGGCTAAGAACCAGGGAACCAGACCTCCAGGAAAACCCAGGGTGTGCTGGGAAGACAACATCCGACAGTCCCTAACTGGCAGAGGATTGGAATGGAACAAAGCCAGAAAAAAAACTGCTGATAGAGATGTCTGCCGATCTCTCTGGCAAACCTCTACACCCCAAGGTAGAAAAGGAGCGACTAAGTAGTAAAGTGAAGTATGTGGAAAGATTCCTCCATTTAAAAAAAAGGGGGAAATCTAGGATGACAGTAGAACATCGCTCCTTCTGTAAACCAGTCTTAACTTAAATCCAGGAGGATTTTAGTCACAGACATAAGGAAAAGTTTATACCGTTGTAATGTGTTATTAAGGATTTTTTAAAAAGATTTTTGTACAGTGAAAAAATATATAGATCCATACAAGGTATGCCAGGAATATCGGTTGGTGGGCATATTGTTAACAACCTGCGATATGCTGACCATATAGCTTTGACCCCTAGGAAAGTGAAACACAACTGCAAGAAATGATAGACATTATTGTAGCAGAAAGTCAAAACAAGGCTCTTAGTTTGAACAAAGAAGAAAAAACAGAAATAATGGTAGTTACAAATAAAATGGACCTTTTGAAAAGGTGTGGGTCATATCTGTAGAATGAGATAAAACCAGCAGCCAGATTAAACACGGTAGACTAAAAAAGATCAACGATTTTACTGTTCTAGTCACCAAAATTTAATGAAAGTGACCACTGTGAATAACTTTAGAAATATACACTTAAAGCAAACGGGTACACCACAGTTGTGGCATAGCTGTCAGGATAACGCTTTATACAGTCTATATGCCCAAGGGTAGGAGAGAAATGACAGAGTAATGAGGCAAGTACTGTAATTAAAATACAGTTCTCAGAAATATGTTCGCACATTTAAGTCACATAATGATTTGACTGCATATCAGTCTTTGTTTTACCAAGATTTACATTACTTTAAATCTGTTTTATAGTGATGATTGGAATATTACTCAATACATGGCTCACAACAAACACACAACGCTGCTACCTGTTCTAAACCTGGACATAATCAAAGTCTTGCCAAGATAAAAATGAAGACTTTGAGATGAGATACCAGAGGAAATCTGCCAACTTAACCATCTGAGACCAAGTGAGAAATGTTGCTATCAGACAAACCTGAGAACAGCACCTTGCACCAGATTAATTGAGAAAATCAAACAGTTCAGTCATCTCATTAGAATGCCGTCACAACTACCAATACAGACGCTACACCTGATGCGAAAGTAAGAGGTCGCCCCAAGGAGAAGATGGATTGGTGACGTTATAGACATTCTGCATCGACATGGAATGACTAGCCAGTGCTACCAATCGAGCAATGGATGACAAGAGGTTTTCCCCCACATCACTTGACAGCAAAAGTGGAAATTAATGATGATGATGATACAATTATAAGAGCAGTCAGCTAGAAATAGCAGGAGCTTTAGTCCTCTAAATATTCACCCCCACATGGCAGTGTATTTCTTCCACCTCTCATTTACTTTGGGGAAGAGGAATGTTTTGACCATCATAAGACATGAAGGTCATTTATTATTTAGCGATATTGAATGATGTGATCATGGTCACAAAGGTGACTGATGCCAATAAAAGCGTGGAGTTTTCTTGTATCAGTGTGAGATCTTGTGCTGCCTTGCTGTACCATGATCAAGAAGTAAATGTCATCTAGATCTATCTTCTTCTTCTTTTGTCAAAATCTGCTTGTGCCGCTAGGCGTCGCAGTCTATCAGATGATCGGCAACCGAGCCAGGGCGCGCTCAGTCGCTTCATATGCCGTGATGTTATGAAGTCTCAAGTTGTCCGTGACTCCTTCAATCCATCTTCTTCTTGGTCTTCCCCTGCCTCTTGTTGTTTCGATTTTCATGTTGTATGCTCTTGATGCTGGCATCGTTGGTTCCATTCTCATTAGGTGACCAAACCATTTCATTCTTTGCTTCTCAATAAATTTAACGATGGGTATGGTTCCAATAGTTCTTGTAATCACATCGTTTCTCACTCGATCTCTTCTGGTTTTATTCGCAGCCATTCTCAAACATCTCATTTCACAGGTGGTTAGTCTTCTCTCATGTTCTTTTGTTAATGTCCAAGTCTGACATTGATAACCTAATGTCGGTATAAAGATTGTATTTATAATTTGTCTTTTTATCTCAGCTGGGACAGCAGGGTGTTTTAAAATTGATCTATCCTTAATAATAACTTCCCATGTATCTCTGTTGATGCCGAAAGATTTTAAAGTTATCTTAAGTGCGTTGTTGAAACATTTATTTTTAATCATGTTCACATTTTCATTGTGGGAGTCGCCGTAGCGTTAGCAGCTAGACGCCTGGCTGCGGATCAGAAGGTCGTGGGTTCACGTCCTGACGGAGCTGTACTTAAAAAAAAAATTTGACTCCAAGGTCGACCCAGCAATGAGTGGTACCAGGTGCAGTCCTGGGAAGTAAAGACGGCCAGCTTGATGCTGACCACATCATCCACCAAGTGCCGATTGGTCTATACAAATATAGGTCTAGCCCTATATTCCCTGTACACCTAAAGGCATGGAAAAGGACCTTTACATTTTCAGTGCAGATGGTCCTGACCGGAGTTGAATTTTGTGAGTGGTACATGGGGAAATATAGAAAGGAAATAGTGTATTCCTAATCTAGATTATCTCTAAAGCTAGTTAGGTCAAATGGCTTATGGCGACATGCATGGAAGTTAGTTGTGGATCCTTTGCAGAACCAGCCCCAGCATTTTTTATTGTTTGTGATTTTACTGGGCAATTTTACATTCAGTAGTTTGCCAGAAATGGAACTGGATATCAACTGTGAGATACCATCCAAAGAGGAAATTAGAAAAGCTATAAATCTTCTTAAGGAAGGAAAGGCGTCAGGCCCAGATGGTATCCCAGCTGAAGCCATCAGGACCAACATAAACACATCAACAGAATTGCTACATAGATTATTCAGTAAAGTCTGGGAGACCGAAGAAATACCAGCAGACTGGAGAGAAGGATATCTTGTGAAACTGCCCAAAAAAGGTGATCTACAGGAGTGTGAAAACTATAGAGGAATTATGTTACTGTCAGTTCCTGGAAAAATATTAAGTAGAATTTTTTTGGAAAGATTAAAAGATGCTATTGATAAAATGCTAAGAGATGAGCAGGCAGGTTTTCGGTCAAACAGATCCTGTACTGATCAGATAGCCACATTACGTATTATAATAGAGCAAAGCATTGAACTGAACTCACCACTTTACATTGGATTTATAGACTATGAAAAAGCATTTGACAGCATTGATAGGGAATCTCTCTGGAAATTGATGGGGCACTATGAAATCCCACAGAAAATTATCAACTTAGTAAAGGCAACATATAAAGACATGAAATGTCGAGTTCTTCATGAGGGAAAGCTAACAGATGCATTTGAAATAAAAACAGGTGTGCGACAGGGATGTCTTTTGTCGCCTCTCCTATTTTTTACTGGCTATAGACTGGACTATGAAAAACAGTAACTGCTAACACCAAGAATGGAATTCAGTGGACCCCTACAAAACAGCTTGATGATCTGGACTTCGCTGATGATATTGCCCTTCTGTCCCATTCACGGAATCAGATACAAGATAAATTAAATATACTTAATGCGAGATCACAGCAGCTTGGTCTGAAAATCCATAAAGGAAAGACAAAGATAATGAGAATAAATCAGGCAAATAGTAATGTGGTTTCTCTTAATGGCACTCCACTTCAAGACGTGGAGTCGTACACCTATTTAGGCAGTAATGTAGATAAAGATGGAGGAACTGATAGAGATATTAAAATAAGAATACAAAAGGCAAGAAGGGCTTTCATAGCACTAGGGAATTTGTGGAGGTCAAAAGAAATTAAAAGAAATACGAAACTAAAGATTTTTAATTCTAATGTCAAATCAGTACTATTGTATGGGGCGGAAACATGGAGAACAACGAAGGCAATTACTAATAAATTACAGACATTCATTAACTGGTGCCTGCGCAGAATAGAGGGAATAAAATGGTATGATAGAAAACTAATGTTGAACTTTGGGAGAGAACTAAACAGGCTCCAGTGGATCAGGAGGTGAGGAAAAGACGCTGGCGTTGGATGGGGCACACACTGAGAAAACAGGAGAGCAGCATAACTAGAATGTCTTTGCATTGGAACCCACAGGGGCATAGGAATAAAGGAAGGCCAAAAAACACATGGAGAAGAGAGCTGGAGAATGAGGTTAGAAAGATTGGGAGGACATGGGGAGAGCTCCATGTATCGGCGAAGGATAGAACGACTTGGCGTGAGTTGGTTGAGGGCCTATGCTCCATTGGGGGATAGAAAGGCAGAAGAAGAAGAAGTTTGCCATACATTTGTACCTACTGAGCACTCAAAATGTGTATACATTTTTGGGGATATGCTGTATATTAAAAATCATCATAGGCACAGATACTATATAAGTGTACCGAGCAGAAAATTGGAGAGGTTAACAAAGATTAAAAGTGCATGTTTGTGAGCAAAAGAGGATGAGAGACATAAGGAAGTAGAGATGTGAACACATGATTACTGGGCTTGCAGGGATCACCATGAAGTTAATCCTTTGCAAACCACAACATGTATTATATGAATTAATGAAGTTTTCTGTTTTTATCTTTCCAGTGTACTTCTGGATCGCAAACTAAGCGACTATCCCAAAGTGATGGAATTTTGCCAGGAATTGTATAGCAAGCAGATTCGCTCGCCCTTCCTCTTGGCCTGCATGATTGATTGCTATGAAGAAATGCTAGAGCTAGGAAAACCAAAGAAAGAGGAAAACTTGCAGAAAGCGACACAGGTACAATTTGGTCCATGTATTATTTTGTTAGAATTAAGGAGGTTTTCTATCAGTGAAGAGAAGATGCCTGCCAGACCAAACACAAACTTATTTAGATTTACCATACAGCAACCCTGCCCCCGTCCCACTTACAAAATCAGGTACAAGATAAATTAATCACCCTTAAGATAAATTTGAGATTGTATGGGTTAATGTAACAGAAGAACGGTATACTTATACTGCATATCAATCAATCAGGTGCTGTCTACACAATGAAGGTCGGCTGCAGTGGATCTCCAACACTCTTTATCTCTTGTTTTTGAAGTACACTCTCTCAGACTGTTGTTCATCCATGTCTTGATGTTGTCTTCCCACTTACATTGTCTGCCTCGTTTCGACACGTCCCTCCATTATGGCTTTTTAAAAGAGTTATGTCTTTTAAGGGAAGTGGTGGATCTTACATTTGCTTGTTTCCCATGTGGGTTCCAGGGCTCCATTTTGGAGAACAAGGAATTAATGCACTGCCACCTTAGCAAGCATGTTGTAGGAAGCAACTAATTATGGGTATTTCCTTTAAAGTTGGGATGCCTCAGCCTGACAAACAAGCAACCAGTAGACTGTATACAGATAAGCCAGATCTGTAAAATGGATTTGCAGTCAAAACTCAAGTTCTGGATCAAGACCAAAGTCTGTGTGTGAACAGACAACTAGAACGTCCTGCTGGAGTTTACAGCCAGTGAAAGCTTAGAAGAAGAAGAATTCTTCTTCTAGGCTTTCCCGCAGATCTGTCACAGACAGCTCATATGTATGTGGCAGGGTTGTGACAATACTAAACAACTTGTAGTTATCCATTGAAGTAAAACATGTCAGGTCATTGGATCACTAGTAAAGAAACCACAATTGTTTTTAAGAGGACAAGGTGCCAGATTGCATAAATCAGAAATATTGCTGTTAAAATAAAATCTGGTATAGCTGCATAAATAGAATGCATTGCTGTTGGCAACATAAAATCTTTTATAGATTTTATATGAACAGCAATTTGTAGGTGAGCAGCATCATACTCCAGCAAGAAGAACTGAACCTACAGCACCATGTTGACTCCTTGTTTTATAGTTGCATAATGTATGACATGCAAATGAACTAGGAAAAGTAAGATATTAAGGAGGTAGGAAACATGGTGCAAACATCCATGTTGGTCGTACTTCAGTTAAATAAGCACAGTAATTCAAATTCTTCTGAAGCATAATTACTGAAGAATGCAGACCCGACAGAAAGATTAAAATTAGAGTTCTGGTGGCAAATATGCTGTCGCCAGTGAACTAGCTCCACTGTTCAAACTCCCATGTCTCTTGGCAAAACAACAAATAATTAAGGTGACTGCAGGAGATCCCCTCCCTGGCACAGCACTCATTCCCTATCCCCACTGTCCAAGAACTTTTCGGGCCCGCATCGGCCTCATCAGTCATCTGCGTACTCATACTTGACGAAAAAGAGTGGTCATCATCATCTTGGTGGAGAACACACAGCTCCACTGTTCAGACTCCCATGTCTCCTGGCAAAACAACAAATAATTAGGGAATCTTCATTCTTAGTTTATGCCATCGGAGTCAAACAGGGACAGTGAATAGAGCACAGCAACAGAAAATCTTCTGAAATATGCTGTCTGTAAATGGTTACCAACAGCACAAGAAGGGACAGGGTCATTTATACCAGCATGAGAGAGAAGCTTTTTGCAAGAACTAATCTTAATTATATTGGAGGACAGAGAATGTAGTTTTGCCAAGGAGAATGCAAGAAGAATAGTGAGAATGCAGCCAGACCAGTTATATGACGCTTATACAACAGAACATTTGTGTGGAAGGCCAGAAGACCAAAGAAGGGATGGATGAATGTTATAGCTGATTGTGAAAAAAATGAAATAAAATACGAATCCATCACTCATGCCAGTCAAGAAGCCCAAAACAAATACAAAAACCACGACAATAGGCTAAAACATGTTAATGATGTGATGACAAAAGAAGATCATTTTTATGTGAAGAAAAGTTAATAACCCTTTTTTACACTATTGACACATTAATATACATTAGGCATATGGTGCAAGACCCATATTGTTTATAGACCCATATTGTTTATAGACATGGAGACACTCAGTGGGTTAGATTTTCAACAAGCTGATCACCTTTCTTTGCTTCCCGGGGCCTTTGCTGGTAGCAGTTTTAGGCTGGGTCAACCTGGAGCCCTGGGTCGCTAATAAAAAGTTTGCAATTATGTGGTTCTGAACACAAGGTCTTCTGGCTACAGGCATGCATTTAGCAGCTATGCCCATTAACTACACTATTCTGGACACACACGCACACACCCACCCCCTTTCTCCCCCTGGGTAACTTTTATGCTTGTAATAATTATGGCTTAACATGATTTCATTATATCTTTGCTCATATACGGGTATTGAAAACTAACACCCCGAATTTAAAAATAAATTTTTATAACTATAACTTTTTACAAGAAATGGATATTAGGAAAGCATTTAGCATGAGGTTCCATTTAAAATATTGAAAGGGCAACAGGTTTCACGCCAGTTTCTCCGACTGCCAGAAATCATGTCAGATGCATTCACCAGGAACTCTTGTGAAAGGGAAGACATAACTTTCACCTTCTTTCAAAATTTAAAGAAAATAATCAGTCTGAAACACAATCACAAACATATTAAATTTACACATTACATTCTCATACATCAAAGATCAGACACATACAAAAAGTTCAAACCAAAATTACAATGAATAAATAATTTTTGAGTATTTAAAAATTTTTTTTTTTTATTTCAGTCACCCTTTACATGCTTTTCAAAACCAATTCTTCTACAGTTATGCAATGAATTAGCAGAGGAGCATGACACCCTGCGCAGAGAATACTGGCAGTACATGGCACGGTCCCTGGCTTCAAAGTACGGCACGGATATTGCTGGGGACTCATAGTTGATCTGTCATGTGAGGTGGGGAGGTGGTGGATCTCACTTCTGCTTGTCTTTCCTGTACTCCTGTCGTGGTCAACATATGGTATGTGCCGAGTGGTGTGACAAATATCAGGCATTGTTGTAATTTATACTTTGATTACAAAACTGTTATGTGTTTGAATTTGTGTATGTTATAATACATAACTTGATTAATGAATGGAAAATAGATTCATGCAATTCTGACCATTGTGTTAATGAATGGTACTTAGTTTTCGTCTTGATTTTCAGTTTTGTATGAATTTATTGTTCAGTGGATAATTAATTTTATTTCAAGTAGCATTTGAGAGTTCCCTTTTTGAGAGACACAGTAGCCCAGAAGTAGTGTTTTTATTTCCGGCTTGAAAGTCATGTGTTCAAATCTCCCACCAACCCCCAGGTTAGCCCTGCCTAAAATGTGTACAGTGAAATGTCATGGGATGTAATGGTGTCAGTTTTATTAATTTTTTTTTTTTTTTTTTTTTTTACCTAAGTGCAATTTATGGGCTTTTTGTTATTGACAGTATGCCAAAGGCACACCTGTGAAGTCCTACTCCATATAGGTCAAAATGAGATATCACTTTTCATGCCGCTTCACAAGTTTAATTCGATCTCAGTATTCAGATCCGATTTTCTTGAAACATGTATTTGGCTCTTATGTGACATTGGTATGGTGTCTTGATGTCACCCATCAAGTGTTTAATTGGTGTATGCAAACTTGGAGATTCCACTTTTAGCCCAAAATGCCACAAGGATTAGAAACAGGACTTTAAATAGAGAAAAGTATAACATGTTGTCGTCCCATATGGGATGCAATTTTTAGTTATTCTGAAACCCCACCCTGGCTTTTGCCGTGGGGTCTTAATTATGGCCTAACGGCTGAGCGGGGTTTCCAGGACCTCTCCACGGGTGATCCTCATCCGCATGGTCTCACTGTGTGTCACCGGGTGTTTATCACTTGTATGATTCCCTGGTGGAGTAAAACCTACCTACCTACCTAGAGAAGAGTAACAGTGAAAGACCTTTCTCCACACATTTAGGCCTATTGAGTATTTAGAGCTAGACCTAAATTTTTATAGACCAGTCAGCCTGTAGGTGATGTCAACATCCTGCCGGCCACCTTTACTTCTCAGGACTGGTACCCGTTTAAGGCTGGGTCAACTTGGAAGCGAAAGAGATTTTTGAAAAAAGCCTGGCTCCATCATGAACTTCAAATCTGCCGGTGAGCATTTAGCTCCTACACCACAGCGGCTTCCAAACAGAACTTTAGAATTTTTAATTCCCACGTTTAGATTGGAGGCCATAAATTCATTTTCAAGAACTTAGTATTTATTTCAAGAATATTTTTTAAAACTTTTTTCTGTGAAGATTCGTATGAAAGTAAATTAAATTTTGCTTGTTGTCAGCTGAGATCTTAACCATGCATACGTCTGTTTATTTATTTTTCTTTGTAATGAAATCTACCGTAATATCTGTTACACCCTCTCAGAAGCTTCAGTTTTGGTGCTTGATGTGCTTTGCTGTTCATAGGTGGTTTTGTGTAGACATATAATGGACACATTCTGGAGTGTACAGATGTAAGCAGGCACGCATGTATAGCCAAGCACCTCGTGTAGTGGATCATATCTCTTGACCCGCACAGGGTTGCAGGATACATCAGTCTGGTGTAACCGTTACGGGTGCCCTAATTATAACTTCTTTGGAGGCCGAAAGAGATATCTAGGCTTGTTCTGTTGATCTGACATCGAGATCATTCGATCTTAAGGCATCAGACTTCTGAGGTAGCCGCCTGGAGGGGATAAATGGCGCACGCATACACATAGTGGAAAATGAAGCTTTGTAAAATTGAAGTAGCAAACTGACATGCTTATGTTTTGTTTAATATGTGTCCAGAGTTTGTGAAAATTAACAATGCACTTTATGTCTGTGTGTTTGAAAACTAATTACTACACAATTTTTGTCTGTGGTTTGAAAATTAACTGCTGTACACTTTTTGTCTGTGGTTTAAAAAATTAACTACTATCCACTTTCTGACTGTGGTTTTGAAAATTACCAACTATACACTGTGTCTGTAGGTTTGAAAATTAACTATATAATTTCTCTCTGTGGGTTTGAAAATTAACGTTACACTTTCTGTTGGTATGTTTAAAAATAACTTCACCCTTTCTTTCTGTGTGTGTTTGAAAATTAACTAAACACCTACTGTCTACAGGTTTAAAAAGTGGCTATACTCATACAATAAATAAAATAAATACCCTTGATAGGACATTTTAACATCTTTTATAATACAAACACTGTATTACCTGCTGGCCCAAAGGTCTTTAATCTGCATCAAGCCAGATTTAATTTTAAAAAAAAGGAGATATGGTCTGCCATGTAAAAGGAGATTTGGTCTGCCATGTAAACCAGCCTAAAATGGGTACCAGGTAAAGTTTTTGTAAGCAATGGCAGCTGGCATGATATTGACCACATCGCCCTTTGAGTGCCGATTGGTCTGTTAAAGTCTAACATCATATACCTGAGGCACCACTGGCTTGAAAAGGGTCCTTTACTTTTACTTACAAATATTGTATATACAGCATATACAAATAGGATAAAGGAATGAAGTAAAATACATTGCAGTGTCCTTAGATGTAAAGTTATTTTCCCCTGTTTTAAATCAGGCACTTGATTTGCAGTGAATGCATGTGGCACAGCTAACTTCTTATGTACTGTTGTTGCTGTCTGTGTTCCCTGTATGGGTTCCGGGGCTGATGAACACTGAATAAGAGAAGAACATTCTGTGTTGGTTGTGATTTTGAAGGCAAATGATCTTTGAAATCTGGTGAAATACATATGTTCAACAATATTATTGAGGAAATTCATTTATTTCCTAATTTTACCAGCAGAAATTTAGTGACATGTATAAAGGCAGCCCCAATGCTGTGGGGGTGTTAGGCCAGTATTATGGGTGACCAGTTTCTCTCCCCATGACTTTTCTTTCCCAGACATTTTCCATCCATTTCTGGATGTTATCTGCCACTAGTTTTTAGGCACTAGATCAAACTGAGTCATACTGGTCTAAAGACAGACAGATACACTTTGGACTCGGGTGTCAGTCCTACAGGACAGATCTTGATACCATGTTCAATTTTCTCAGCAGCTAAAATCAGGGCGTTTGTAAAAGTTGCACCATGGTATACCCTGTTTATTTAGGTTTGTAAAGACTTTTTTTTTAAACTCTTGATTTGAATAATCATCTAAAATCTGCCGATTTATTATTGGACCTCAAACCTTTTCTTCTCTTTTTGCAAAGAGTCTTGCCACAACTGGAAAAAACATGATACTTAGTGAGTTGCAAATAAGGTTTTAATCAGGTGCACTCCTGTTTTTTTTTTCTTCTTTAAATTTGTAGTATTTACTGGGATAAGGTTTGTGGTAAAGTTTCATTCACTAGGATAACGGTTGTGGTAGTGGTTACCTTTAATGGAAACATCTTATGGAATCATAGACATGTTTGGGGAAAGTAGAACCAGCTCGACAACTGATAACATAAACAAGGGCTCTACATCAACATATGAGATGGCACAGAATGTTATCTAGCCATTATCACCGATGTTTGTACAGACTCACCCGTAAAGTAGAAGTAGAAGAAGAGAAAAGTAGAAGAAGAAAAATCACACAATGAAAGAATATGTAAATGAATCAAACAGTCTTGCTCACTACTGAGGCAACTGGCAGGGGAAAAAATGTTCATTTGTGCTTGCTATTGCAGAATACTTTATATATTCTTTCATCAAACAGAATGTAACAATTTGTTTAAAAAAAATGTGTTATAATTTATTTTTATTAAAGTATCAGATGTTTGAAGCATGTTTTGGTCATGTTTGCAAAATTATGTGTTAGCATTGTAATTGTTCATATACTTTTCCTGATGCTGATTACATATGTTTTAAAGGACCATTGTATCTGATTGCAAGTGTGTTTAGAGAACATCTTGAAGGAAAGGGATTTCGTTTAAGATCATGTCCAGTCACATAGATACAAATATATATTTTTTTCACCATAACTGAACAGGCTAGGATCACTGAAAGTATTTGGAGAACTAGTCATTTCCAATAAAAATCAAGGCGCTTTTTTCTCTCCTGTGCAGTGAAGTGTGTATTGCACAAGAGGTTTAAGAAGCAACTATATACCTGTCATTTAAGGTTTAAACAAAACTAAACTATACAGATACTAGCTACAGGTTTGAAACACAACTTTGCAATTACAATTTAATAAACATTATGAAGTGAGATATTTTGACCATTTTTTATAATTCGGTATGTGACAAAAATACTGTATACACAGCATATAAAAATAAAATGAAATATATTACAATACATAAAAACATAAAATTAAATGTATTACAGTGTCCATTTTTATAGTTACTTTTCAAGCACCCTGATTGTCACTCCTTGAGTAAGATGAGGTCTTTGCAAAAGAAATAATTAGTAGTTGATCCGTCCAAACTTGATTTGATTTTTAATTCACTGCCACCTTTAACCCATCATGCACCAGGCTACTCATCCATTTTTTTCTTCTTTCTGACTCATTTACACAAAATGAGTAAAAATGATGCCCAAATGCACATACACAATGACATAGTAGAAGCACAAGAGGTTTGTGGATAAATGATAGCTAAGCAAATTAATAAATCAAGAAATAAGCACCTACATTTCAGAATGAAACTGGAATTACACGGGAAGGGAAAGGAGTTACGGAAAATAACTAAAATATGGTTATCGTTAAAACTTTATACACCTGTGACAAAAAAAAAAATAGTTTGCCTGTCAGAGATATAGATGTGTAAAAGAAATAATAAAACTTGCATGTTAATGAAGCACCTACTCTATGTGTTAATATTCATGAATAATTTAATATCTGTTGTTTGAAATGTAAGCTCTACTGCTTTTTTAAATTTCTGTTTGTTCTTTTCACATTGATTTTGTAGTCTCTGATAAACTG